TAATTCCACTGCGGAACAAGGCAAACTCCATCCAGGACTTCAAAACATCCTCAGTCATATAGGCCATCACACACATAAATGCTGAAATCCAAGGAACTTCTTTGAGGGGGGAAAAAAAGCTATCAACCCTCACAGCTGGCTGTGGTGTGAAATCCCTGGCCTTGCTGCCCTAAATTCTGAAAGCTCATCAGCTCAGCTGTGGATCCGTAAAAGCTGCCTTTCTGCTTGAATCAGACCCGCCTCCAAAAATGAAGACCCAGTCATTAAGAAATCTCGTTTTAGAGGGTGCTTTGAAAAGACTTTCAAAACTGCTTCCTGCTCTGCTATAGCCAATTTGAGGCTATTTGGCAAAACAAAAAATAATGGCATCTCCTTACAAAGAAAATATTTTCCCTTCCGCAGTAGTTTTAGGGTTGGTAAGCTTAAGGCTGTTTCCCTAACACATACTTTTCCCTTCAGCTTCTACTCTAAGTGCTCTCTGGGTCACAATCTACCCAGAAGCACTGCCTATGGGTTTGTGTGATGTTAAGAAGTGCTGAGTGACTCCAGAAACAAAAATGAGAGAGAAACTGAAAAGCAGAAAGGAAAACTGGCATTCAAGGCATTCACCATCTGGCGCCGACCCCTTCTTGCCTCACGCTTTCCCTCTAGGCCTTTGATCACCCTGGCCGAGAAAGATCTTCCCTCTTCACTTGTCCAAATCCTACTCATTCTTCAAAGCATGGCCTAAAAGTCTCCTTTTGCCTTATCCCTCAACTAAAAGTAATCTCTCCTTCCTCTCTCTCAACTCTTGTAGTACCTTATCTGTATCTCTTTACCACATATTTCTTCCTCACATTATCTTTAGCTCCATATTTAATCCCCAACCGGAGCACAAAGACCTCAGGTCAAAGTTCGTGCCTCAGGCACTTCTACTCCCAGGGCCTCACACACTGTCCTGCCGAAAACGTCAGTCTTTTAGGATGTATACCTGCAGAGTGAAGAGGGGACTAAACCACTGTAAGCTGTGACATTAGCTGGCCATAAAACCAATTTGGAGGTCAAAACCCAGCTTTACTAAAAAAAAATAAAATGAAATATAAAATATCAAAGTGTGTTGTAGGCAGTGCTCCAAGTGTTTAACATTGGCTATCCAGAGTGGGGAAATCCCTTATTTGTACCATTTGCTGATCCACTGGTGTGAATACTGCCACCATGGCCGACTTCAAGCTGCCACCATTATGTCCCTGAACAAGGAGCAAAGTGGAAAGAGAAATGCATAAATTTGTCTTGCAAACTAGTATGATGAGCCAGCTTTAGCAGGGTCCTGAAAATACCTTTTTTGCCAAACTTTTCTTTAAATTTCATGTGTATGTGTTGAATCAGGGTACGTGTATTTCTTACTGTGTAAGTCACAGTCAAAACAATTTAATAAATATTCAGCTAAACAATCACCTAGTCTCTTCAATGGGTACTACACAATGCAATAAATCTTACTCTTGATTACATATGTAGTCTCTTCACCATTTGTAGTCCTCTGCAAAAATGACAGTAACAAATAAATGCCTATTGGTATCATCAGAGACACAGTACAGGGAGTAGCAATTTGGCTTAGGAAGTATCGGCAAAGGACCTAGGTTCTCAGCCTTTGTTCGGCCCCACACACCTGAGGGACATAACATATTCCCACAAGTAGCAATGGCTCATCTAGCAAAGGGTTGGGAGAAGAGGAGAAAAGGAAGAGGCAATCTACAATATGGAAAAAAATTCACGTGTTGCAATATTTGTACCATGCCCCCACCCTTCTGAGAACCTGGGTACAAAGAACACCAGTTTGTAAAAAAAAAGTAAGTTTCCATACTTGACATTTCCCAGGCAAATTCCCCAGCATAAGCCCGCATCCTTCAGCAAGACCACTAATACTGAGAATTCCCTACTGGAATTAAGTTGTTGCCATGGACTAAAGACATGTAGTACTTGCTGAACTTAGAATAGGGAAGGGGAAAAAACACCACAGCAAACAGTTGTTAGACTTCATATTCTGGGAAAATCAGGCTTTTATTAAAAAAAAAAAAATACCTTCTTATTTTCATCTTATTTAAGCTTACTAAACTGAGCAAAGAGAGGGGAAGTTTCTTGAATATATTTTTTGCTGTACTATGTCTATCACAACAACATAACCAGATTTTCCATGACTATTTATAAAGAATTGTGTTTTCTATTTTTAAGGCTATTTAGAAAACAAGAAACTCAGAGGTTCAAATATACTAATAATCTTAGCCCAAATCTAACTCCAAATCACTGAATATCTGCCTAGAAGTTTCCCAGAAAAATCCCCAAAACTTACGCCAGAAAATCCCCAAAAAATGTGAAAAAGGAGTCAGCATGAGCACAAACTTGCTATAATCAAACAATTTTGACATCCTACCTGCTAAGTGAGTACAATATGAAAAAGTAAACGAAGTATGAAAGAGAGAATGTTGAGGTACAAGTTTGCTTAATTCTATTACTTCTTCCTTATTAGGGTCTACTGACCATAAAGTGAAAATTATTCCCCACTCTAAAAAGCCAAGAGTTAAATCAAGTCTCCATGCTCAGGATATTACACCTCTCCTTAAAAAAATGAGTGTGTTTTACCATAACTCCGGCTTGAGTCCGTACTTTCTCTGCCTCCATTTCCCAGGGTGGCAAGTGCTCATAAAACTATTGATAAGAATTCTGAGCTGTCTTTGCAGTACCAGGGGCTGGAATCGCCCTGGGCTGCTAGTCATCCTCAGACCCAGTAGCTGACCTATTTATATAAGGAATGAGCTATACACGTGTAGCAACTTATTAAGACTTGTGGGAAATAGCGAAACAGCTCTGAGCCTGGGAAGCCCATAGGCTACAATATCTCCTTCATTCTCCAAACACCCTCTGTCCAGCCAGCAGCATCATCCCCACAACACTTCAAGACCCTGGTAGGCTAAAATGCAGACCGTCACTGTGAGAAATTTTTGCTATTACTCTCTTCAACATTAATGTCTAGAAGCCTGGCTATCTCCCACTCACACTATTTTTGCTTGGCAAAACAGAATGCCCTCTTTGGACTACTCCAAAAGAATGAATAAGAAGACCTTCCACTTTAATGCTGTCTCATCTGAGGTCAAATAAATATACAGTAATTAAATGAGTTCGAGTACGGGTTAAGACAAAAAAAATTAAGTACACGTTTTTACAAGTCACAAATTTAGAATCAGTGAGCTGACAAACATGAAAACTCCTGTTTCACACACCTGATAAAATTGTTATTCAAATTAAAAAATCATAAAAACTTTTAGGGTGAAAAGAAAATGATATGAATCATGAGACAAGTAGCAAAGGAATACAAATTCTCACAGACTACCCAATTGTAATACATAAAAATTGGTATCAAATAACTCAGGTGCCCAAAAAGCATCATAAATTTATAGTCAGATCTTTGTAGGTTGGTTGGTATACTCATGACATGTCTGAATAGTACTGGAACCCGCCACCTGTTTCCAGCTTTTTGGAACACAAAGTAGGCTATACAATATGTTCACAAAGAAGTCACTGCCCAGCTACATCCAATTCTCCCCCGATGGCTCATTAATACATAACTTAAGAGCACATTTTTTAACCGATATGATACAGACACCAGTCTAACTCAGCATCTCAACCAACTCCCCGAGCAAGGGAGCATCCAAGACAATCTGACGAATTTCATGTAATGTAATGAAATGCCTCCTGTCTTTCTCCTTTGCAGTTTCATCATCAGTTTCAAGTGGGACACTCGGTTAAGATAATGAATCACAGGCCAGTTTTCCAAGGCTAGTAGCTTGCGGACCAATATTTTCCATGGACAAAATCCACTTCCTATTTGACCACAAGCAAACTTCAAGTTTGTATCTTCTCAGGTCATAGTACTGGGTATCTACAGAAACGCAGCAGAAACCAAACATAAACAAGAGGACGAAGAAAGTCAGAAAGTTTTCACGAAACTTTATTTTCAGAATTGTAACAAGCAACCACATACCTCCCACCATGTACCAGAAAATTTAAATGCCCTGAAAATGCAGGCCTGGAAATCAGTTACCAAGCAGTCAGCGCTGAAATCTGTCAAGCAAGCAAAAGTTCTCCCTACCATTAGTGTGCATGAGGCTGGCGGTTCCCTTCACGTTCACGAAACCCTCAGTTCTGCCACTGACCACCTAAATTTTCGTACGTTTTCTGAGATAAGCCTATGTGAGAGGTACAAGGGGCACACACAAGCACCCGGACGCACTCCCCCGGGATCAGCAGCGCGGCCACCCCTCGCTGGCCTGGCCGGGGGACCCCTCCACCCGCTGACGCACTGCTGCCCAGCTCTGCGCCGCTGGCGACCCGTGCAAAGTACTAGCCCGTCTCAGAAACTTTGAATCGGTCATCGGGACTCAGCCCCCACCACCTGGACGGGCGCTGCCACGGCCACTAGGTCAACTTCGAACGGGGCATTCCTTGCAGGTAGGGATCTGCCCAGGACGCAGCCCATCCCAGGCTGCAAAACCACAAGCATCCGCCGCGGGAGCCGCGCGAAGTGTGGGGCGGGGACAGGGGGAGTGCAAGGGTGCGACCTGGTCCGGAACGAAACCCTGACTGCAGGCGAGCACACACCCTAACCACCAGACACAGACGTGCTGGGGCTGCGACCCCGGCCGTGGCCACGGCAGCGATGTCAGGAGGGCACGCCTGGGGCCGAGCACCCACGTAGCCACCCAGCCCCCAGGTGAGGGGCGCCGACCCCGCCGCCCGGGCCGCGAGGAGCCGCCACCCGGGAGAACCTCGGGGTCGGGGCGGCAATCGACGGTCCTCAGCGCGCCCCGTGCCCTCCGCCTCGCGCGGTCCTCTCACACCGGGTCCCGGCCCGGCCCCCTCCTCGACCCTCCTCCCCCGGCTCAACCCCGGCGCCAACACCCCTGCCTGGCCCGCCGCTCCCGGCCGCCCAGCCGCCCGCCGGCCCCAGCAGGCCGCCCTCGCCTCACCTCCTCACGTCTCCGCGGGCAGGGCCGCAACAACTCTGCCAGGCGCCCGCGTCTCAGCCGCCGCCCGCGCTCTGCGGCCGGGCCGGTCCCGTTCACTCCGCTGCCGCCGGAGCCCCCGCAGGGCGGAGGGAGCGGGGCGGAGGGAGCGAAAAGGGAGGGGAGGGCACTGGCAGGAAGAGGCGAGGGGGGGGCGGGCCGAGGGGGAGGCGCGGGCCGAAGGGGGAGGCGCGTCGGGAGTGCGCACGTCAGGGCCTCTCGGCGCGCGTGCGCGCTCCTGAGGACGACAGCAGCGCGCTCGCCAGGCCTGGCGGCGGGTGGGCTGGGGCGTGGGAGTGCGGGCCGCAGAACCTGTATTGTTAGAGTAGGAACTCGGAAAGGCGAGTTGGGGGCGCTTGCCTTCTTGCTCATAAACCTGGTGTCCATTCGTTAATCAATGCCCAGTCTTCCTCAGGGACGTCACCTTAGAGAATACGAACTCTTCTCTGTGCCTCTTTCATGATGTCGTGGACTCGTGTTCGGCGGGACTCGGGGGAGATGGAAGAAAGAAATGATCTGCGGGGGTGAACAGGAGAGCGCTCAGCCCTGCTTGGTGTTTATAAGAAAAGGTGCCCTCATTTACACCTCTTTATCCTTTCCGGCAATAAATTGAGGTGTACAAAGTAGGTAGAGATAAAATAAACGAGCTCTTTCCCTCTACAAATATTGTACTGATTGATCCTTGAACTGTGGACTTCCTCCTTCTTAGATCCTGCAGCCAGAAATGACCTGTAAATTGTCCTGATTTCCTTAGTACTTTGTTTCTATGACTTTTTGGCATTTAATATTCAACCTTACCTGGGTAAATCCATGCAATCTTTTATCCCCCTAGAGAATCCTCGAGGACTTGCTTCATTCATTTTTGTATCTTCCACAAAGCCTAGCACCGTGCCCGACTCACAGGAAGGGCTCCATAAATGTTACGGCAGGAACAAGTGAACAGAGTGCAGCAAGACTTTAAGTATATGGGTAATGATTTAAACTCTACAGTGACTCCTGTGGTTTAAAATTCCCCCTTCTGTTCCACTTCAATTCCCCTGCACTCATTGCCCACCCAGATCCAAAAGCTACTCTGAGAAATAGACATTTGTCCACAGACCCTCTCTCTCAAGCTTTTTCCCAGTTTAAATGTCTGTAGGACGAATGGCATGTAGCAACTACCGTAGGTCCTTTATTGACCTCTATATCTCAAGAATGCACCTAGCAGTATCAATTAATAAATCGGCCAACAAGTAGGTACTGAGCCTCTACTGAATAAAGTGCTGGTAAAGTTACACTGAGCGCCAAGAGGAAGCCACCAGATGAAAAAGCTGTAGCTTCTGCCTTCTGATACCTTCTAACTAGAAAGAAGCTTTTTGACAAAAAGGACAGCACTGTGGTGATTATCTGCACTCAGTAAGAAACTTAGTCAAAATAAAAGAAAATAAACATTTTAAAGGGTGATTCCAAAATGAAGACAGTGTTCCCCAAATTCAGTTCCACATGTCTCTGAATGCAATAATGACCACTATTTGCTGTTTAATTCTTCTATTAAAGTGGAGCATAACATCTAAGTCACTATTAAAGGATCAATCCATGTGCCAGCTTGTTACAAGGAAAAGAAAACTGTGTCCTATGACCACATGTCACACCTCTAATCACCAGGGGTCACGGTAAGCTGAACTGTTCCTCACAACGGAACCCAGATAAGAGATGTCACAAGAGAACCTAGATAGCAGCAAGTCACAAGAGAACCTAGATAAGAGACGGTGAAGGTGATTTAGTGCAAACTCATCCTCACCACAAGGAACACAATTCCAAATACAGGCCAGAGAATTAAAAACAAAACATTCTTCATACAATGTGTGCTGCTCACTCCTCTTCCCATGATGGCTTCCTTTGTATTAAAAATATCTTTGCAGCCCAGGTCCATGAAAGGACTGAGGTTCTCACTTTGGGGGAAGGTGTTATAAAATATTCTAGCATGATTCATAACATAACAGAAACTGGTGGCCTAGGTCCAGATATAGCCCACAAATATATTTTGTTTAAGCAACCTGCATGGTGCTTCAAAAAAGTTAACCAAAGCTGGAGGTTACAGCAGAAGGCTTTGCATCATTCCGAACTGCCCTTTGAAACGTAGAAAGTTTTGCTAACAGTGGGCTTATAGTTTCACCTTGTGACAATCAATTACAGGACATGCACTCTCTCCCTCCACATTTACTCTATTCCCCATTACACCATACACTGTCCTGTTTCTCTCAGGTAGGTCTACAACTCCTGACTTGAAATATCATAATGTAACAAAACGGGGAACAACTTAGACACTGACCAAAAATGGAAGACTGTAATGTATGATATTTAATAGAGTGGAATATTATAATGCTTTTAAATAATGGGCATTACGAGTTGACTCCCCAACAAGTGTTTCTATTTCTCTGAATTGTGAAGCAGCTGTTGATGTAAGAACATCCAAATCTGTAAAGAATTTTTGTAAGAATTTATTTAAGACACACTTGAAGCAATTGTCAGGAAGTAAGATCGCAGATGCTCTGGAGAATAACAGTTTTACAATTTCTTTAATGCACTTGAAATTAAGGAGGGAGTGTAAGAAAGATCCCATGAAGGTGGGAGAAAGCAAGGGATTAGATTCCAAGGTAGTCAAGCTTCTGTGGCATTTCGAATATGTGTTAACATGCACAAGATGGATAGGGCTTGCTTAAGAACCTGTGACTAAAGAAGTTAAAGGCCTGGGGCATGACTACCCACCATGACCTACCCAGGGGGAATCTGTGACTACATCATCATGAGGTTACTTTCCAGAAAGCCCTGTTTTTGTGCACGCAGTCAATGATTCAAGTGGGAATAGGCCCAGCTCCGGCTCCACGTGTGAGCCCCAGTCAATGTCCATAGTCAGCCTATTCCCATCCTCACCTGACTCTGAGTCTTCGAGGCCAGACCTTGAGTGACCTTGAGTTTGTTGGGAGAAGAAACGTGCTTTCCCTCTAACTCTGGCTGGTGTGATGGGTGGATGTGGGTCCTATGGTTACTGCAGCCACTTTGCCACCATGAGGGAAGCCTACCTGAGGATAAAGCTGACACAAGATGGAAGAGCTTAAACCCAGCTTGAAGCCCACCCCTTCCTCTGGATTTAGTAAGTTCCCCAAGCCAATAAGTTTTCTTAGCTATTTAAGAAAGTTTGAATGTGGTGGCTTTTTTATTACTTGCAACCAGAGCTAAACTTTTCACGCAATGTTACAGAAGAAAAAGCTGTAGTTACGTTATCTAACTTTTCTAAAGATATGTTTCCAAAGGAATGAATAGGTAACAACCTACTTGGGCAAATTTTAGTAGATCTTGAAAAGAACTTGACTACCCACCCCCCAAAATCCTTTCCTGAATAGGTTACCTGAGAATACATTGCTACCCTTTGGTTTGGTTTGGTTTTGAATTAAATCTTGTGCCCTATTTAAATCAACTTTCCCTGAAACAAGTACTTCATGACTCTAATCAGTAATCTTGCATAAATGAGTTTATTGGATGGGTTGTCTGTTTTTTAACAGAGGGAAGATCGGAAAAGACACACTGGGGATACTGGGAACCAGAGGAAGGAAGGAATCACAGAGGGAACAAAGTGGAGCCGAGATAGAGAAAGTAAATTTTCCTATTTCCCAATTTGATGTAAGGCTGAAATTCAGAGTAATTCAGGTAAATCATGCTGAGGCTGTATAGTCAGCTGAACCTATACTACAATCACCCTTTTACTGAATAAGAACAAAATCAAACAATACGTATATAGGGATCAGAAAGTCTCCTAGCAGTAGAAGAGGCAGGCAGAGCCGTAAATGTCTCTCTGAAGAAGGCTAGCCAATGTCCCACTTTTGTAATTTGCTAAGCCCTCTTCCGCGGTTCAGGGCAGTGACCCCCTTTGGTGCTTAACAAAATCACCTCGGATGTTTGTAAAAAAAAAAAAAACGCAGACCTCTGTGCTCAACACCGAAGAGATTCAGTAACTCTAGAATGGCACCCAGGACTTGTTTCGTTTTAACTTTTTATTACAAAAGTTAAACTTTTTAACTTTTTTGTGAATAAACTTTTTATTCACAGAAGTGTCGAAACACATAAAAAGGAGAGAAAATAGTGTGGGTCCCCATGTGAAAATCACTCAGGCCCAACAGTCACCCGCATATGGCCATGCCCCTCTTCCTCACCTGCCACGTGTATTTCAATCTCCAGTGCCCAGTCCTCGCCCCTCTGGGCTTCAGAGGGTTCCCAGTGGCTGGCCCCAGCTCCCTCTCATGCTCCGTTTTGTGGTTTCCTTTTTCTAGAACCTGATGTAGTCCCCTTTCTTGCTTCCAACACACTGAAATTGGCGGCATCTGTTTTTCAGTTTTGAAGGTTATCATCTAGCACTTACATATTTTGGGAAAGGTAGAAAGTCTTTGTCAGCCTAGTCTGCCATATTTATAGGAATCGGATTAATTTTTTAGCAGTGCTTAAAAAAAATCTGTTGAAAGGAACTCCTTGTTAACAGTGTAAAGAAACTGTTGAACAGGAATTCTATTTTTGAACAACATAAAGAAACTCTACAGCCAAAGAGGGAGCCGGCCTCTGGGCAGCTGTGGAGTCAGCCCTGTGGGCAGAGCCGCTGCCCCTGATGCGCGCTCTGCGCCGGGCACGCACTCACAGCTCTGGCCGTGGCCCCAAGTTCCCTTGAAGTATTCGCCACAGGCCTAGAATTTAGACTTTGGACATATAAGAAATATTCCTTAAATAGATATGTTTTACAGAAAAATGACTTCAAAGATGACAAATACTTGCAGGGTAAAGCCAGGAAAATTACCACTTTCCTCTTCTGAGTCAAGGGAAATTCATGCCCTTGCCACCAATTCCCTTCCCCTCCCACAAGACATTTTTTAGTCCTTTTTCCCTTTGCCACATTGAAAAAAAAAGATGCAAACTTGAAAGAAAAAGAAAGATTTGTATCTAAATTCTATGACAGTCTACCGAAAATGAAAGTAATTGAGAATTATTAAATAACAAACACTGTTTCTTTATATTAAAAGATTCCTAACACTTTCTCTAGCATTTTTCCAATTTTGGGAAGATTCTTACCATTCTGTAAT